ATTCTTCAAGGTATTATTATGTTATTTAAAATAATGACTATATGTGGGTGTGTGTGAAATTTTAGTAGTATAATGTAAAATATTATATACATTGTTTTAATTATGCTAATTAGGATATGAAATCAGAGGGTGCAAAAGTATTTTTAGAAGTTTGGCGTGCTGTTGATGATCATATATTTGCTATAAGTAGCAGTGATGAAGTTTTCAATGAATATGGAGTAGAAGATGGAAAAATTGTTTTATTTAAGAAGGTATATTATTTTTAATTTATGTCATTTATGTAATAATTTTTATTTCTTTTTGTATCTGTTAATGACATATATTTTACTTAATATTTGTTTTAGTTTGATGAAGGCAGAAATGAATTTAATGAAGAACTTGATGTTGACAAATTACTAAACTTTATCCTTATATACTCATTACCTTTAGTTGTTGATTTCAATCCAGATACTGCACAAAAACTATTTGGTGGTTATATTAAAACCCATTTTCTTGTCATCCTTAGTAAAGAAGCTGGTCATTATGAAGAATATGTGGAAATGATTAAGGAACCAGCAAAAAAATTCCGTGGAGAGGTATGTAAAAGTATAAATAGTGTAGATATTAAGTAATATTATGCAGTGAATAGCATCAATATAACAGTATTAATATTTTATTGCAATGTACGTTTTATAGGTTTTATTCGTAACAATTAATGCTGATGAAGCTGATCATGAACGCATCTTAGAATTCTTTGGTATAAAGAAAAATGAAGTACCTGCTATGCGTCTCACAAAATTCGAACGAGATATGGCTAAGTATAAACCAGAGAAATCAGAAATAACCAGTGAAAATATTCTGGAATTTGTAACCGCATTTGTGGAAGGCAAACTAAAAAGACATGTACTTACACAAGATTTACCTGAAGACTGGGATAAAAACCCTGTAAAAATTCTTGTGGGTACCAATTTCCATGAAGTTGCATTTGATAAAAAGAAAAACGTTTTAGTTGAATTTTATGCTCCATGGTGTACACACTGCAGCAATTTGGTTCCTATTTATGATGCAGTATGTTTTTTCAAAATATTTTTTACAATCTAATATTTTAAACACTTTTTAACAGATATTTTTGAATACAAAGTGGTATACTTTTAGCTTGGAGAAAAATATAAAGATAGAGAAGATTTAGTTATAGCCAAAATGGATGCTACTGTAAATGAATTAGAAGAAGAGAGAATTAGCAGTTTCCCAACAATTATTCTTTACAAAAAGGAAACAAATGAAGTCAGTGTCCTAGATTTGTTAAGTCTTTAACGTCTAACCTATTTAATATCAATGATAGGTACTTATTGTAAATGCAATGAATTTTTAGGCTGTAATATACGACGGTGAAAGAACCCTTGAAGAATTTTCTAAATTTATTGATTTTGATGGTGTTTATCGTGAAGCTGCAGAAGAAGTTCGTACAAATTTGTAATTAGTCTTCGTTAATTACGATGTTGAACACAAAATAACACGATTCATTTTTACAGGCTCAAGAAGAAGATGAAGATGATGATGTGCCAAGAAAAGATGAGTTATAAAATATATATATAAGTATAAAGGAACAAATTCAATAATTTCTCATAATCGCTGTTTATAAACTTTGTAATTCTGCTTAAAAGATATTAATTTATAGAAGACTTTTTAATCATGCATTTTCGTTTTAGTACTTACAAGTTTAAGTTTCCGAACCAATATTTTAAAATGTACAATTAACTGTTAAGAATTTGTTTACAGTTTTATACAGTGTTTGCACGACAAACGTGTAAACATGTATACATACGATTGGCATCATTCATCTATAACGCATACTCCATTTGGTTGAGTAATTTGATGTGATAAATTGCACACAGTTGAATAAAGCAACTTGTTTTATATATGTTATATATGAAATAATCTGTATATGAAAACACAATTCAGGAGCAAAGCAGTTGCGCTACTCGTTTCATTATCTTTTTTTTTTTCTCTCTTTGACCTCTTAAAGTTGTAATGTTTAGATACAATATCATTATCTTGTGATGTTGATGTATGAAGATGTAACTTGTGAAAAATCGTTAAGCTAAGATTTTCGCAAAATCGTAAATCGTATTTTATTTTTATAAGAAAACTTTGTTTTTTATTAAATATACACGCATACATGTTCGTACAACAAACATACATTAAAATTCATTGTCTAATGTAGTAGATACTTTAAATTTGTGGTTCATGAATACATTTCCATTTACAGCATTTAAATAATCTACAGTATAACAGTTTTATAAATATTTAAAGTAGAAACGATTTTAAATAAGTTTAAATGTATAAAAATTTTATCAATGGAATATATAAGTAATATAAATGTATACACACGCGCACGTGCGCGTTTATCCCATTTTTGTAATAAATTCTAAGAAATCAATACATTCTTTAGTAACAATTATTATATGTTAAAATGGTAGTATATATGTATATGTATCGTTGAAATAGGAACCATTTTCTCTATGTGTATGGATGCACAGGATGGACGCGCGCGAATGTATGTATGATACAGTTACTGACCAAATTTTCTGAAGATAAATTCAATACATTTTTATTAAAAAAAGAAACTTCGTAACTGTAATGAAATAAAATTACATTTTAATTTAATTGTCGTATTTAACGAATTTAAAAAAATAAACAAATCAAATTCTTTGCATTTTTGTTATTAAATATAGTGATTGCTTAATACTTAAGTACCTAATACTTAAACAATGGTTACATGTATTTATTTGAACAAGAAATTGCCTTAAATAATTCTACATTGTTTAAAATTGTCCAAACTTAACAATTAATATGTTTTTCAAAGTATCGAACCCTATTTGACTTTTTTTCATTGTCCAAATCTACTGGTGCATTTGTACCAGGAATACGTAAAAGATATTCAGTTACTTTATTTATATGTATATTATTTGTACATTCAGAGTTATTTTTCGTAAAATCAGTACGTTTGGTCACTTTAATTATAGTACATTGAAAATGCAGTTAATACTGAGTGACATGCAGTTCTTTTGTTTTTTATATTAATTTTTTGTATATTATATGCTGGATTTGTAAATACTGATTATCTTTTTTCTTTTGTTAGAAACAACAAGATCCGGTTGAAAAATGGAACAAACATTTAACCTTTCAAAACTGATTAAATTCTTACATCAAACATTAATATTTACAGAAGACATAAAAAATGTGTTAATATCAAATTGTGACGAAGCAACGTTTTGTTTAAAACCATGGTACATAGAAATAGTTTCTCAACCGGAAACTAGTAAAAATATATGTACTTGCCCCAAAGTAAGATCATTTGAAACTCTTTTGTATGAATTTTTACAATATAATGATATTAATTGATTTCTTATGTGAAAGTTTAAAACTGAAGTTGAAGAAATTGCTGCAAGTATTAGTAGAACATTATTACAAACACAGCAATTACGAGAAAAGTTATTTACTAATGTTACAAAAGAAAGAAATTCAAAATGTTTTGATATGTACAAATGTTCTCATAAAAATGGTAAATATTTAATAGAAAATATACTGATTTTTATTATTTAAATCGTTATGTAAAAGACATATCATTTATATTATTTTATTATCATATGTATTATCAATTTTAGGTAATAAAGAACAAAGAAAAGTAAGAAACTTAAGTTCAATTAATAAAAACACAAATGAGGTACATTTTAATCAGGATCATAATATTAAAAAATTAATTACTCAGAAAATGAGTCGTGATAGAGGATTACATAATGAAATAAAAAATAGTGCACATATGAGTGAAAAAATAAAAAATGATAATAAACATTTGGTAACACGCTCAGAGAATAAGAATTTTCTTAAGATAAATAAAAGGAATATCAAAAACATAGTAGCAGTTCAGCAATATAAAAATATTAACCATAAATTGGAAAATAATTCTACATTAAATGGTTGCATAATGAAGGTAACAAGTTCATAAAATATTTAAATGTATTGTTTTCTATTTTTATTTTTAACCACTTTTAATGGAATTCTAAACATTGTAGCATTTATCATAATTTATTATGTTCTACTTACATAAAATAACAGTTACTTTTGTTCAACTAAAAGTTGTGTATGCTTATATAAAATAGTCGAGTATACAATTATGTAAATGAAATAATAATCTGAAGCTGTCACATCTTTTAGTTTCAATACTGTTTAAGATATGAATTCTGTTATATGAATTAAATTTAATTACTTTAACATAAAATTTAAATAATTCTAATTAACATAAAACATTAAGAATAATTTGCAGTTGCTGTATTCTTAATAATTATTAATATAATTTTATCTGTACAGTCAAAATGTATTAAGTTTGATGAAAGACTTACCGCAGCATCAACAAGTGAATTGAAAAGTTTAATACAAAAAATATCAACCAAATCTAATAATTATGTATTTCCTAATGAGTGTACAATAAAGTGCTCATTACATGGAGGTGAAACTTTACAATGTATCTATGAGCAAAATTTAATAGCTATAAATGTTGTAGACAGTCTTCATATATCTAATATTCCTGGAGAGATAATTAAATCATTGAAAGTTTATCACACATATTTGAATAATGAACTTTCCGCGAAATTACTTAACGGAAAACGGCAAAAGATATTTCATAAATTTTTGATAGAGTTTAATAAAAACGTAAGTAGATACAAAAGTGAAAAGTATACACTCAAGTGTGCAGTTGTATATACAACATACATCTTATATGTACATTACAGGGTCAAATTTTACAGGAAAAATCAATACATAAAAATTACATCATTATTGCACTCCCTAAATTTACATCTTTATTTGAAATTCTTTTTTTTAAAAACCCAGAAATATTTCATTTAACTGATATTAAAACAACATATGCAGAATTAAGTTCTACCTGGAAAATGTATAAATTTAAAGAATTTAATAATATACAAGTTTTAAAAAATATTGTACAGAAAATACTATGTACTATTTCAAATGCACCAAAATGGATGTCAAATGAGATTTGGAATTTTTTCTATATGAAATCTTTTGAAGGTACGATTTTATTTTTCATTACAATTAACATGTTATTTTAATTTATATTACTTTTTTAGGTATGTCAGAAGTATATTGCATACGTTACACAAATGAAAAGCAATTATTATTATTTTTTGATGTAATAGAAAAATTGCAATATATACAATACTATAAAGGTTTAGTTAAAATTGTTATAGAAGATGTACTTCCTAATATGAAATTTTTATTTAATCCTGCACAATTAGAATATATGAAAATATATAAAATGATTTCCATTCTTTATCAAGATTTAAATCCAAAAATTCCAGTTTTAGTAAAAACTGATAAATAAAGGCCTTAAAGTAATGATATACTTATCATTTACATTACTATAGCAACTGGAAAGCACAGACATATTTACATACAATCCTTAAAGGGTATGAAATAGATATTCTTCTAAATATACCGTGCATGTGTCAATTTAATATCTTATTTTTTAATATCAAGAGAATAAATGTAAACAATTAATTTGGGTGTAATACTGATAATTATTAGATCAGTTATTTAAAATTTGTTAACGCTTTTGTATTATATTTTTTGAAAGTTTATTCAAATAAAATAATAAAAATAAAAATTTAGACCATGAAAAACATCAGTATGCAGTACACTTATACAAAAAAGCGATTACAGTTTGGGAAGCAATGTAACTTTATGGATTATCAAAAAATAGAAGCTGATATTAAACCACATATAGGATATATGAATAACTACATTCGAATAGATCCTACAACTCAGGGAACTCAATACAGCAAGATATATTCTGTTCATGAGGTACAAATTGATACTCAAAATTCTCTGTGTGTGCATGTCACGATTATTATTAATATTATTAGGTAAACACAAATACTGCAACATTCAAAGATACTGGTATGTATCATTCTGAAGGTGGATGGCCAAAGGATTTGAATATAAAAGATACAGAGCAAACAGTGAGATATAAACGTAAAATTGAAAAAGATGAACTATATATTCACAGAATGCTTCAACTGTTACCTGTAAATATATTGTCTAACTTTTTTCTTTGTTACTTTTATATTTTGCTAAAATTGAATTAGATGTACAACTATTTTTAGCCAATGGAACAATGTATATTACAAAATGATGCTTGTAATATTTATGAACAATATTTTAAGTACATGAAACCAGTTTCTCTAATACAAAGAGTATATTCGCGTACAGTTAATGTATATCGTGATATTTTGCCAGTTAAGCGGCAAATAACACATCTTTCTTGGTCACCAGATCAAGGAAATCGTTTTGCAGCTAGTTACTGTAATACTGACTTTATAAAAACAATAAATGACAATCCTCAATCATATATTTGGGACGTAGGTAAGTTAAATTAAATATTTTCAAAGTGTACTGAAAAAAATAAAAGAATTTATATCATGAATTTATAGAAAATCCAAATACACCTTGTATAACATTAAAGCCATTTTGCCCAATCTTAACATTGGAATATAATCCCAAAGATAATAACATACTGATTAGTGGGTTAATGACTGGTCAAGTTGCCTTTTGGGATATTAGGAAAGGGTCAGAACCAGTTGAAACAAGTTTGGTTGAATTTAGTCACAGAGATTTATGTAATGAAGTTTTGTGGATAAATTCTAAAACTGGCACTGAATTTTTCAGTGCTTCCAAAGATGGACAGGTACAATAAAATATAAAGTAAAACTTTAATACAAATATATAATGAAGAAAGTTATTAATTGTAGATAATGTGGTGGGATAGTAGAAAATTACAAACACCTACAGAAACATTAGTAATAGATTTATGTAAACCTGATGATCAAAATGTTAGTAGAGCAATTGGAATTTCAGCATTACAGTTTGAACCATCTATGGGTGCACGTTTTATGTGTGGTCTTGAAAATGGTAAATAAAAATTTTGTGTTCGCATTTTTTTATTTATACATTGATAAATCTGTTTCTACTTATATTTAGGAGTAGTAATATTAGGAAATCGAAAAGGTAAAACTTCAAGTGAGAAAATTGCAACAAGATTTAAAGCGCAATATGGTCCTGTAATAAGTTTAGAAAGAAATCCAACGTTTGTTAAAAATTTTTTAACCGTTGGTGATTGGACAACAAGAATATGGTCTGAAGATTGTAAAGAATCTTGTATTACTTGGACACCGTAAATATATTTTAGTTTTAATTAATATGTACTCAAACTGATAAAAATTACTAAAATTTAATTGAAATTATGTTTTAGTGGTCACAGGAATTTCCTAATGGGTGGAGCATGGAGCTTAACACGATTTTCCGTATTTTTCCTAATAAAAATGGATGGAACTTTGGATGTGTGGGATTTATTGATTCAGCAAGATTCCCCAGTTCTTAGTGTGAAAGTATGTTTATTTTAATATTGTAAAGTCACGTACTGTTATTTAAAAATAATAAATACTAGGTTTGCGATGATATTTTAACATATATAAGACCACATGAACAAGGACAATTGGCTGCAATTACTAATAAGAGGGGAACAACATTTCTACTTGAATTTTCAGAAGCATTGACAACTAATCAAAAAAATGAAAAGCTTCTATTTACAGCAGTAAGTTTTATTAACTTTATAGTGTACAGTGATTACATTAATTTTATTGTATTTGTATTACCAAAATTAATAGCTTCTTGATAGAGAAACACGTAGAGAAAAGGTAATAGAAGCTAAAAACAGAGAACAAAGATTAAAAATGAAATCTCTTCGAAATACCTTGAATAATTTTGAGATCGAATGTGCAATGGGAAATACAAAAATTGATGAAAAAGATTCAAAATGTCATGAGTCTAAGAACGATTCAATATTAATATACTGTGAAGAAGATTACAAAAATATCATTAAAGCAGTAAGTGCAAAATATTATTCAAATAAATATAAATCAACATTTTATTCTTTGTTTTAATTCCAAGATTATATTTTATTAGGAGCTGGAAAAAGAAGAATCAATACACAAAGATCTAACAAACACCAAACATATGATAAA